TTGATAAATTCTTATGGACTGTGGGATGCCCCAGGCCCCAGAGAGTGAGTGCATTCACACACACACACATATACACCCACACACACATACGTGCACATATACACCCACCCACACACACCCTAGCAGGGAATGTCCACAGAACTTGATAGCTGGAAGAGGCCATCTGACCCAAATGCCTCACCTTGCAAAAGAAATTCATGTCCACTGTGTGACTTGCCTCAGAGACAGAGTTGCTCAGAGGCAGAGCCAGGGCCGCCTGCATTTTTAGACTGCAGCCTTTGGTTTCCCCTTAAATGAAGGGCAGGAAAAGATGGGAACAGAAGCCCCAGAAGAAGCCTTGGTACTGTAGGTGTTAATTTGGGTATAAAATCCATTTTAAAAAAGAAAGTAGAAAGGTTCAAAGTTCTTGTTAATAAGTACAAGTAGTAAGAAGACAAAGAGGAAGGAGGTGAAAATCAATACAGTTTAACCAGGCTCCAACAATGGAAGGGAGGTGATAAAGGGAGAACAAAGAAAACAAATAATAAATGTGCTTATAGCTCCTTTGGGTGGTAAAGCTCGCTATCTGCCCAAAAGCAGAGAGGTGCCCTGCAAAGAGTGTGTATGCTTCACAGTTAGTCATTTAGGCCTGAACCACTAACATGATAAAGTGACCTCTTCTCAGCACCTTCCAACTAAGCATTCTGCATTCCCTATACCTCCCCAGCTAGCAGGTTCCCTTTAAACACCCAAAGTGACTCAATGCCTTTGAAACAACCCTCCCAAAACTTGAGAGGAAGTCACTGTGGGCTTTAAGCTCCAGTGATACTTGCTTTTCTTTCCTTCATATCAGGCATTTCTCATGACATTAAACTGCACATTAACTGCTAATTTGTTTATCATCTATCTCCTGGACTATAAATTCCTTGAGGGTGAGTTTTGCTCCCACTTTATGCCTAGCACCTGGAGAAAAGAAAGACCTAGTTAAGTTAGTAGGTATGTCACAAGGCCAAGAAGGGTATTGAATGAACATATGAACAAATTACAACCTAGAAGCTTCTTATTTGGTAAGAAAAGAATATTTCTGGGAACATTGGACTAGGAAGGGTCCCTTCAGACTCTGTGCAGAAGCCCTCAACAGATCTCTGCCACTGTTTCATCAAACCACATAGAACTGACTTACAAACAAAAACCAGAAAACAAATTAGGCTCAGATTAAGTCAAGGCAGTGAAGTCAAAGCAGTCTGCTTTTACTGTACATTATATGTTGTGTAGGCAGACTTCAAGTCAGATGCTTCTCTGTTGACCCACCTCCACCTACTTCACTTTAACATCCTCCTCAGAATAATGAGAATGAAGATGGTGAAACAGTACCAGGTGAATTGCCTCTGGGCAAGGAGTGGACGGGAAGCAAAACAAGAGCAGAGTGCAGGGCTTTTGTCTTTAATGAAGGGTATTCCTCTGTTTCCCCCTCATCTCTGTGCCTCAGCTGAATGCCCGCCCCTACTGCATTCATGGGGACCAAACAGTTTGCCCTTACTGTGGTTAGAAATTAGCAGATCCCCATTTCCCAAATATATACTTTGATTCCAGAGTTTCTGTGGGTAATCCAGAGCATCTGCCAGGTTTTACAGAAAAGGAATGATTTTTCTGTAGTTTCAAAGTTAGGTAATGCCAGTGTCCACCTGTGAAGCCAGCCTAGGGCCTGTGACTCCTCAGTACCAAACGTTTACTGAGTGTCTACTAGGCACTGTGCTCGGTACAAGGCAGGACAAGCCCAGCAACTAAGTTCTCCACACGCCACACCATGTCGCTAGCACAGCCACACCTACCAGCGGTGACAAGGGCTAAGATCATCAATAGCCCTTGCACAATGGTTTTAGTCATTGGTCACTGTCCTGTTTAGGCTCTTTTTAAATGAATTGATAGAGCAATACAAGATAATGTAGGTCAGCTGTACATAAAAATTAAGTAAAGATAAACCATGTGGGACTATTTTTTAAAAGAATACAACACAAATGTAGTCAATCTCCAAGCTTATTTACTAGTGACACTAAACTGATAGACAAATAGTGTTATCTCAACACTAAGACTACAGAGTAGGAATGAGGGTTCGTAAATCAAGTTCTACTCTTCTTGGCTCTGCCACCCATGCTCTGCATAAGCCTCCTGTAGCCTTGGCTTCCATCAACTTATAAAAGGACATGATGTCATCCACTATAAGCATCTCTCAATACTAGGTAAGGACAGAATAGTGTACAGTCACCCCCGAGGGAATTCTGGTCCAGTAGAGCCAAAGACTATAAAAATACAACCCACTGATCGTTCATTACAGAGCCAAATCAGCTAAAGAAAATGGGAAGAATGTGAGGGGAAAAGTCCAATCTGAAGCCAGAAGCAAGATTCACATAACTATAGCCCTGAGCCTGTGAGAGCTCCGAATCATCCTACCAAGAGCAGCCTCAAGGATGAGGTCAGACCTTCGAGATGAGCGATTCTGACAAAAGTGAACCTTCTAGATTTATCATATCTCATGGCCCGCCAGTCTCAGAACAAAAGTTTAAAGGTGAACCAAGTTTTTCTCTCTCTTTTTAAAATTCTTTTTTAAGTGAATCAAAACAAAAACAAAGCTCTGAGCAGAATCATTAGAGGAATGTAAAATATTCATCACATTTGAGCTGACAAGACTTAAGTGACCGCTGCTGTTACATTTGAAGAAAAGGGAGGAGAGCATAAGAAAGTTCCTTCCTGCTGAAGACAAAGGGCCTGCAGTGAGACACTGTAAGTCCCTCAGCCTCAACAGGGACTGGTCACTTAATTGGCAGTGGCAGAGGATGCGAATCATTCTGTGGAGTTTTGTGAAAAGTAATCCTTTGCTGCTAATGAGATTAATTATTCTTTAAGAATAATATCAATTCATTTATCATCAAAGTAGTTAAACACTCATTCTGTTAAAAGAAATACATTATGTTTGAGGTTCCATATTATCCTTCGGGCTTTCATACAACTGCCTACATGGGGCAGACCAAGATCTTTTAGATAAAGACGAGAACAACTTTGTTAAGTGATTATGGTTCTACTCATGTCCCCTAAAATTATGCTACACAGGAATCTTCTAACAGTCCCATAAAGTTCACTGGCCTAAGCAAAGATGCAAAGAAACACAAAGTTAACATTCTCTGGCTAGTTTTCCCACATCTGAACTTGATTTAAATTTGTGTTGAAGTGACTTCATGTCACTGAATGATTCTCCCTCCTCAAAAGTGACAGGAAAAAGAGGAACAAAATTCGACTTCTCTTTCTTTTGCTCCAATAATAATTAGAGTAAATTCTGATAACTTTAGGTGGCATTCAGTCTAAGATGGAGTCATGCTCCCCTTAGATATGGGTCTTCTTACCTCTCAAATCGTTTGGTCATCCAGTATGTACCGAGTTCAGACCCATGTGGAGAACACAGAGGTATCAAATCTTTAAGGAGCTTATAGTTAGTTCAAGACCAAAACTAATACAACATAACAAACTAGAAAGTGGTATAAAGTGATACACAGTATTTGTGCCACAAAATCGTTAAGAGCTGTGGGAACTCAGCCAGGGTCAGACAAGTTAGGGAACATTCATGGAACAGATATAAAATGAAATGTAAATGTAGCATTCTAAAAAATGATGACAGATTTATTCCTTGGAAGTCTACCCTGAAAAGGGAATCTGAGGTAAAAAGAGAAAGAAGGCTTGATCCAGCATCAGAACACCATAAGTCTGATTTTTAATTCCATCGTTTGGCCTTTAGAACAACCTGGACCCCCATAGTGGTTTCAATCCTTAAATTGAAGATTAAAAGTGATGATAAAGCAGTTGGCCCAATGCCAGACGCATAGGAGACACTCAGTAAATGGTACCTATTACTATTCTAGATATGCCAGTCTGCTCATAAGAATGATGCTCCATCGGCATCTGATGCTATTGGGGTCCACCAGGCTGAGGTGCAAGGGGTTGCCTTAGGGCCAAATAGGAGGTACTTTGCAGGATGCAGTCCCAAAGAACTCATGGTTTTGTAATCCAGCCATGGGTGAAGTAAAGGATTAAGCTTATTGGAGAAAATCCATGTCTCTAGTGCTTAACTTTAGCCACTCTGAAAAATGAGGTTAGCCTTTATCCTAATTTCTCTGCTGGTAAGGAATCCCTAGTATGAGAAACCCACTTAAACTTTCCTAAAGAAGTTGTAGTCACCTGAAATAAAAACCAAGTCACTGAATAAAGGATCAAGGAGAGAGCAAAAGGCTTAAAAGCTAATCTGGAATCTCCCTGTTTTACCTTGAAAGTCCTACCAGGCTGGAGAGGCACACATATAAAACAAATAGGTGAGACAGATGTTACAGCATGGGCTTAAGTAGCATATATTATGTCCTAGCCACAGACAATAAAGATTCCCTTTCAAAAACTACTAAATACTTCTTAGGTGTTCAATTTGCAGTTTAATTATACTTTCAATTTAGCGTAACATTTTAGGTGTCAGACACTAAAATGATTTATTTCTGTACTTTTACAGCACACTTATAACCTAACTACAATAAATGCCTGACATATAAAGAACCCAAAATAAATGTGAATCCCATGAAATCCCAATAAAGGTTCCCCAATTATGAACCACAGATCAGATGAGTCACAAAATCTCTACTGATAGAATGGAATATACATTTTTGACATGTGAATTTGTGTACAGTGCTATATAGGAAAGAAAGGAGGGAAAGGACTTTAAAGGTTGATGAAAGTGAAAGTCAAAGACGCTCAGTCAAGTTGGACTCTTTGCAACTCCATGGAATTATCCAGGCCAGAGTATTGGAATGGGTAGCCTTTCTCTTCTCCAGACCTTCCCAACCCAGGGATCGAACCCAGGTCTCCTGCATCGCAGGCGGATTCTTTACCAGCTGAGCCACAGGGGAAGCCCAAGAACACTGGATGGGTGGCCTGTCCCTTCTCCAGGGGATTTTCCCAACCCAGGAATGGAACCACATTGCAGGTGAATTCTTTACCAACTGAGCAATCAGGGAAGCCCGTTAAGGTTGGTAGTGGTTTTTATCCTGTGCAACTGGGATTTGAGGGTCGTTAAAGGCTTTGTAAACCATCGAGATGAAGGTGTATTACTTTCCCCATGTTGCAGCTGAGGCAGCACGCAGATGAGCCAAGGTCACAGTGAAGTGGATGGCAGATTTTGGGCAAATATTCCTGTCCATTGAATACATGGCTCCTCCGAAAGTGGCTTGTCTGTTGTTTGAGAATTGGGGTTTTGCTTTTTTTCTTTGTTTTTAGCTGTGAACTTTAAGAGAGTGAACTTTAAAAGTGAGGGAGAATGAAGTGAGTGCTTTTTTTCAATGACTTGAAAAAACAATGACACTGTTTTCAACTACTGCAAGCGTGAAATAGTTTGCCCTTTCTCAAAATTCAAATCTTAAAATGAAATAAAATTCAAAAGTAAGATATGGTCAGGACAAAACAGACTGGTCTTCATATAGCACACGCAGCCGTGTACTATATAGCCTTTTCTTCAATTCTTCTACAAACAGAATTTCTCATGCAAATAAATATAACTAAACGGGGACACTGTTGCCCAAGGACAAAACCCACTGCCAACAGGCCTGGGGCCCAGGGAAGTAAAGTATTAAGTCATTGCTCTCACGTCTAGCAGTCCTGTTGCAAACCACTGTAACATCTTGATGGAATTGCCCCGTACTGCACAAGCTAAATATTCTCTAGAATACATTCATCTTAAAAGAACCCAACTTTTAAGAGAGGAAATAGGATCAAACTCTGTGTTCATGCTTTCTGTCTTCTCAACGCTCAGCAGTGGCAGAAAAGGAAAATACAACCCAATGCTCTGAATTGTTATGGAAAATTAAACAAGGTTAGATGACCAAAATAATTTTAAATTTTAAAATGTATGCAAGAGGACATGCACAGTCCACAAAGAAAATGGTCATTTATATTACAACAGATTTTAGAATGAAACTTTCCCACCTGTCTGTAATTAAAATTTACATGTGGCCCAGATTCATCCAAACATCATGCAGGAGACAGAAACCAATCACCTTCAGGAATATTAATAGGAAAAGTGAGTAAGGGGAGATCGAGGATGTTCACTGTGTTTCACGAGTCAGTTGTTCAGCACGTAGTCAGGCCAAGCATCAAGCCTCATCTTCCAACTGATTTGACCTCCAAATACTATTTAATGGTATTAAATGTTCCTACTTCCTTTGCCTTCCTTACTTACTGATTTACTGGAGCTAAAATGGAAAGGCGGAAAGAAGGAAGTTCTCTCGGGATCACCATGTCTCACATCTTACATTCTCGGGGTTCCTGTCTAGCCTGTTTCTCACAGCAAGCTTTGTGACTTCAGTAGTCACAATAAAACATAAGTGTCTGTTGTTGTGGTTTCTAAATTTCTGAAGTCTAGATTTCCCACTAACAAGCTGGGAAACGTTTGGTTTCCCAAGCATACCATGTTAGCCGCTGCCTCTGTACAGGCAGCGAGACTGCAGGGAGGTGAAAACCAGTGAACTCACCCACTCTGGCACAGGACTGCTCCATGCTTTGGCCTTTTATGTTAAATATGAATGCCAGCGAGTTCAGTATGAAAGCCAAATAAAAGAGGAAGACCTTTTTTTAAAAAAAAAAACTTACAGGAACTAGGGGCTTAAAAAAATTTTTTTTTGGCTCAGAGTAAGATTCAGAAAAGGATTATTCTTTGTGACTTTTTAAAAAAGAGAATAAAAGAAAGAAAAACAACCTACCAAGGAATAAGCTTTAAGAGAAAGGAATTAATATTAATCCTCCAAAATACCAATTTGCAATATATGAATGAAAATAACCTGTGATCTGGGAAGAGAAAAAAGGGATGAAAGAGATTAAAAACAAAATTCTGCAGCTACATCAGAATGCTTTTCTAAAGAATTTATTTCTGTTTTCCTCAATCCACTAAAGGAACATCTGAATATAAATGGACTTTGCAATAGGACAAATACATATAAATATTATTAATAAGATAAAATACATACAATACACATTTAAGGGTATACAGCATTATGCCCTTGAAGTCTGTTTGAGCAAAGGCTGCCTGTTAAAAATATTTTCCGAGAACTTTAAGTTCCTTGAAATGTTCTACGGAAATGGTATTTATGACAAACCTACCTCCTCTAGGGAACATGAGATGTTATTACTGGCAAAGTCACAATTTTTTTAAACTATCCAAAAATAATCATGAATTTATGCCAGATGACTAAATGTGTTTTATTATTACAGTGATTAAGGGAATATTTGCTAATGTCTCATGATCAAGCTTGAAGTAGCCTTATAGAGAGCTTATAGAGAATAACAGCGACAAAACAGTAGATTTCAAGTGGTAATGATTCTCTGTGCCTTTCATGGGCAGAATATTACAATACATATATTCACTGAAGAGGATGGTACATATGAGATAGGAGGTGTGGATGTATGTCATGGTGGTGACAAACTGGTTTTCTGTAAAATGAGAATAATAATAGTTGCTTCTTATGACTGTTTCCAGAACTAGTATGGTACATGGCATGTAGTAATTGCTCAATAAATGATTAACTGCTTAATCAATGATTGTAGAAGAAAGGAACTATTAACTGTCATCCCTCAGTATCCAAGTGGGAGTGGTTTCAGGACTCCCACAGATACCAAAATCAGCAGATGCTCAAGTCTCTCATATAAAATGGTGTAGTATGGTCAGCCCTCCTTACTGGTGGGTTCTACATCCACAGATATAGAGGGTGGCAGCACTGTGTGTCTATTACTTACAGTCACAAAACTCTAGTTCAAAAGTAGATTCTACTTCTACCTATTAGGTATTTGTTCAAATATGTAACAAATACTTAGAGTACCAAATACATACTAAGCACTGTTCTTGAGCTAGAAAATACAGCACTGAAGAAAACAGGCCAGTACTTGAGCTGTCACTGAACACACACACACACACACACACACACACAGAGACATCCCTACATCCCTACTCACGCAAAGTTTACATTCTAGTTAGAAGGAGAGCCAGCCAGTGATCAAACAAGTACAATATAGTAAGCATGCCAGTCGCATGACAAGAACTGGGGAGAGGCCTTCCCTGGGAAGGCAGGGGTGCAGAAGCCACAGGCCTCTGTGTCAGGGAACCGCGTGGAAGCCGGTGTGACTGGAGTAGACCGAGCCGAGGGAGGAGGGGTCGGGGGCCGACGGGACGGGGGACACAGCGCAGAGGGGAACAAACGAACGCGGAGAGCGTGAGGTGAGAGAAAGAGGACGCTTGTGAGGTCAGTACTGTCTGGGCTTTCTAGCATGTAGACTCGTTAGTTGAAAGAGCACATGCTTTGCAGACAGTGACTTTTTATTCTGGCTTGGTTATTTGTGCTATTTGGCAATTATTTAATCTCTCTATATTTTAGTTTTTTGGTCCTTACCCTCATCTGTAAAACAGGAATAATACCTCATAAGGTTGTTTTAAGGATCAAGTAAGATCAGCAGGCACAGACTAGACCCTCAATATGCTTTTTTCTTTTTTGCTATAAACTAAATCACACCCTGGATAGCGACTGGGAATCGGAGTCAGTGTTCCAGTACCAGGGTTACTGTAATAATGGCCTTGCATGGTATTTAATCTTTCTGGGCCTCAGTTTCCTAACTAAGAAAATGTAGATGCTACACACAGACATTATAAAAACAGATATAAATCAGTTAAGCTATTGTTATAACATGATAATCAAAGAATATTACTATTACAATTTATCTTAATGTTAAAAATGCAAAACTGCAAAAATATATGACTCCTCTTCCTCTGTTACTTCATCTCAAAAATCCTACAAATCTTAATTTTCAGCCTGAAGTTGCACAGGTTTAGTAGCCATGTTGATTTTTATTCCCATATCCTGCCCCTGCTGAAGAACACTGATCTAGAAAGATCTCCAAAAAATGTTTACCTGCAAAAATCAAGGTGAAGGATAGAGAATAGACTATTTTTTGTATAAAAAAGGGTAGATAAGAATCTTTATTTGTATTGTTTACTCATAAAGACACTATAGAAGTACATGTAAGAAGCTAGTATCAGTGGTTATAAGTTGGGGAAGAGGAACTGGCAGATGAAAGATGAGGTGGGATCCTGTACCTTTTAATATACATATTTTGAAATGTATGTTATATATTTAGGAATGCTAATCTAAAATCAAAGACTGAAATTCAGACTTGTGAAGAGTTAAGACTGAGCAAAGAAAACTTTTAATTACAAAGCTAAGTATACAACAGTATGAAAACCTCAAATGACCTCCTTCTTAGATAATCTGGGTACCCTTCAACCTGTTTGTACTTTTTTTTATGAAATGCTCAAAAAGAATTGAAAATATCATCAATAGTCTTCTTCACATTTTCCACTATGAAAACTAAACCCAGCAGTAGCACATACAGAAAAAGATCTGTCAGCCCACCCCACCGCTGAGTCCCCCAGTAGACAAGTCTACTTGTCTAGGAGCATATTATCTCAGCAGAGAAAGTGCACTGCACATTTACACGCAAGAAACGAGGAACAGGAGAAACATAAACAGAACATCAAAGAGGCTTTGGGAGAATCAGCTATTAGCATCCATTGTGGTGTGCTGGCATGTCACTGGATAATGCACATTCAAAGTATCGTACTCTTCCAGGAAGGGAGAAGAGCTTGTGGTGCAGACCTGTGAACAAAAGAGAAATGGAAAATACTGATCCTAAATATATTTCAGAAGCAAATAGTGAAGAGTTATGAATGTTAGATCTCTTTGTTGTCTCTGACATTCGTTAAGTTTTCAAAAACAATCAACTATGCCCTAAAGTGGTGGTTACCAGCGGCAACTCCCCGCCCCCAGATGTTCTCCTCTACTGTTCTCATCATTGGTTTCCCACTCCAGTAATAACTGATACATGGACTGTGCCAGGCAGTATGCTAGGTGCTTTTGTGTAGATTGTTTTACCTAACCCTTAGAACAGTGCTGTGTTCTAAGTGCTGTTATGAGGGAGGTTCCAGTATTATCTCTGTCCCACAGATGAAGAAAATGACACCTGTAGAGGTTAAACTGCTTGCTCCGTCACCATGGGTAGAAGGGGGGAAACCAAGACTCAGCTTTGAAAACTGAACTCCAAAATCTCAATTTCTCCCCCAGCACTCCCCTGCCTCCCACAGGATTCCACTGCCTCTTCCCCGTCAGTGCATCAGTGCTGGGGGGTGTGCTGGCTCCCTGTCAGTCATCCCGCCTGCCCCTTGCCCTTAGCCACCGGCACTGCTTACTGCCATCTGCTGCTGGGGCAGCAGGGAACAGGCAGCAGAGAGGACCTCATTCCTATCCTAGAGCAGGCTACCACCATCGTGGAGCCAGTAAGATACAGAAGAACACAGATCACGGCGGGTACCCAGTCACCCACAGAGAGGGGAGGAAGAAATGGAAAATGGAAAAAATGATACACAGTCAAAGTGTTAGCAACCTGGGGACAAGCCAATATCATCATTATCATCAAGTTAAAGATGGCTCTGCATGCTATCTACCAGGCAAGGTGCTCTTGGGAATATAGGTGCATAGTTCTATCTGTGACAATCCAAGGCATCACATGCTGGGTGACTTATTTTTACATGCTTCTCCTAGAAAAGAAAAAGGCAGCCAGGGAAGGCGCCATGGCTGTGGGAGCCCCAGGCAGGCCCTGACAGATCAGGGAGGTGAAACTTTCACTTGGCCAAGCACCTGAAGTCTCAGTCTGTTAAAAGACAGGCTGGTTTGCCTTTTCCTCCCTAAGTTTGTCTTTTAGTGTAGCAATCAAAACGGAAAGTCTGGAGAAGAAAAAAGTGTTAAAATATTGATCTGAGGAACTGCTTCCAAATAATTAAGAACCACATTCAGAGCGGTGGGGAGGGAGAACATGAAACATGAATGGCTCTTCAGTGCATACTCAAAGTAATTGTTTTTTAAAGTTTCTTCTTGATGGCTATAATATATTCAAAGCAAAGGAAAAAAAAACCTATTCAGCAAATGGCAAAAAGAAAAATTCATCTCAGAAGACACTTTTCAATATGAAAAATTAAAATGGGTGTCAGGAAAGCACAAGCTTACTGGTATTCAATGAACATCCATCACCTGATAGTTCTTTCTAGAAAGTGACTCAACTGACAATACAGCGCTGAGGAAGTAACAACATATAATTCAGGCTCTAAGTAATTATCCTGGGACACATTTGCACACGCTATCCTATTGTAACTCCCTTGTTAGTTTCCATTTCCTCCCCTGGCCCTAGACTGAGCACCTTTATAAGTCTCCACCCGGCTGTTTGATTGGAGGGTGCAGTGTCTCCTAGACTAGATTCCATGGTCTCAGAAGGAAAATATTCTCAAGTTTTGTGCCGGTGAGCTCTCAGGCTGACCTTTTTCTGCTTCTGAAACTTTTCCTTTAAATAGTTTTTCTTTCTAGGAGATTCTTTGTTTGAATTTCTTTAAAGATTTTCTCCCAAAGCTGGTCCCTTTGCTCAATCTGAGGATTTTATAAGCTCCTCTTAGGATCCTGTTTCTCTACTAAAAGCTCCTTAACCTCCTGATAATTAATAGGTTGTTTGACTATTTGCATCTTATTAATTCACTTCCTATGACCCTTGGGGAGCCAAACAAGACTGTTCAGATGCTGAAGAGTCCTGACTCACCGTGCCCCATTTTTACTTTATATTTCTCTGACATCAGCTAAAGCCTTCTCTATCACCTCTTGCCCCAATTCTTGTTTCACAGTGAAGGAAAATAGCAACCCAGTTTCCTGGATCTGGACTCATTTATGGTGTCTCTAAGTGATCTCAATGATGATGACAGTATCTTCAGTAATAAGGACATAAAGCAGACACAGATTTATACTCATACATGGCTAGAAGACGCCAAAAAACATGTTACTGTTCTTCTATATCTTGCTGACCAAGTCAAATGAATCAAGCATTACATTATGACTATGGTATGCTGGAGCTGTAATTTTTTTAAAAACCTTTGACTTCTGAGAGAAATAAAAGGAAGCAGCCTACATAGAATAAAAAAGACTAGTCATAGCTATTTTTATGAGTGCTCCTAAAAATTAGACTAAACAGTGAAAAGTCCCATTGAAAAAGCAGAGTGGAGCAAGGAAACATAAATTACTGGTTGATTACCAAGAACCTATCTCAACCTAAGGAAGCTTTCTAACAAATTCCATGTAATTACTCTAAACTGCTTAGAATCCTGTGGTTATTTAGCCATAAACCCAGCTGCTATCAATACAATGCAACAATTAAAATTACATATTAGATAAAAATTGCTAAGAGATATAGGGGGTCATCATCATAAGCAGAGTATATAGTTTCTTGCTTATCAGTTAACATGTTAAATCAAGAAGAAAAAGTAATGTATTAAACTAGCATGGAAAGAATGAAAAGCAAATATAGGCATTAAGAGCCATCAAGGTGAGGTTATACAGTTAGGTCTAGGATGAGAGATACAGTATTTCGTTTATCTTCAGAAAAGACCAAACAAGATTTGGTATCATCACACTATCTGGTTGTTGATGGGCAACTATTTTAAATTCTGTAACTAGAGTGATATCTGCAAATATACAGGCAGGTTTTAACAGAAAAAAGGTAAACTGTTAAATAACGGGCACAGTACTTTGCACACAGTAATTGCTTACTACAGTGGTATAATAAAAGTCTGAAATGAATTAACTGTCAGCTGACCTGCACAACACTGTGATGAACCCATTTTAAGAACCAGGTCGTTCAGTGGTTTCCATGCCCTTATTTCAAATTGTGGTTTCAAACAAAACATGATGTCTTATGGAGAGAGCTTTGTCATTTAGGATTTTTCTAAGAACTGGGAAAGAGGTATTTTCTGAAGGAAGGGAATCTTCCACCTAGCTGTTACGGGGAGCAATTAGTTTAATTAATGACATAAACACTGAAGCAGTGACTAGGCCAGTGAATCTGGGGACTTCATCAGTGTGTTATGAAGCGAAGGGCTCACTCAGTCACAGCCTAAACCAGAGACTTTTCCAGAGAAAGACACACTCGCCATTTATGCTTCAACCACCTATCCTCAAGGTAGAGAGTGATTCTCAAGGGATGGCCCCTTTCAAGAGGTCTATGAGGTTAAAGCTATTTTCACAGTAACACTAGCTTTTTCACTCAGTCCCTCACAAGGAGTATTCCAGAGATGTGACGTGTGGTGATGTCATTGTTCTGACAGCTGACGGGATGTATGAAACAGATCTGAGAATCCAGCTGCCTTCAATTAAGCCAGGTATTAGAGTTTGTAGAAATACAAAACAACACAGTCCTTTCCACCAAGTTTTGGCATTATAAAAAGTGACTTTTCATAAAAAATATGTTATTAATGTTTACTATTTTAATGAATAAATATATAAATATTTTAAAATATCTTGGTGTGAATTTCTAATACTATAAATATTGGTAGACATAACCCACACAATCAAAAGCTCTTCAGAGTCCTCAGTTATTTTTAAGAGTATAAAGGAGTCATGAGACCAAGAAGTTTTAAGAACCACTGCTATGGAGATTTTACTGAGTTGCACTGAAATTATCTGCTCATCTTTCCCAAGAGCCTACAAACTCTGGAGAACAGGATCCTCCCCTCTTTATCTCAGTATAGCCCGGTATTATATTCCTTTGTTGTTTGCAAATTAAATGAACAAAAGTGTTGCTATATTCATAACATCAAGAACTTTACATTTAAGATCCACACAGTATATGTGTCTCCTAAAAGATGACAAATGAGAAGCTAAGCTGACTCTGAAGTTTTTCACTACTTATAGGTTGATTTCTGCAGATACCAGAAACAACACAGTGCCACTAATGGCTTGTGAAACTGGTTTTACTGGTCAATAATCATGCTAAGCTTATTTATATGGGTCGGTTGTCTGAAAAATTAGGAAAGAATCTGAAAAAGCAGAGCCAGAATTGGTGTGTTAGGGTGGTCAGGTCAGAGATGAATATTTCCTTTTCAGTTTCGTTTGTTTGTTGATGTAATGTTGTTTGTGTAGTAAACAGGCATATTTGTCCAGTAGAGCTCTAGCTCTGAGGAAAAAATAAAAAGAACCACTCCTTTGTTTGCAGAGACGAAATTATCAAAGGAGAGTGAGGGACTAGGATCTGGACGCTAGCAGCCATCTCCCTTCTCAAACAAGCAAGCACATAGAGTTCTAATACAGGGTTCTGAAGAAGGAAGAGAAGATATTCCAACAGTCTCGATTCTTTCCAGGGGCCACTGTACTTAACCAGTTATACGTAATTTTCTTAAATACCTAAGACCATGCTCATGGTAAGCACCAGAGCACGTTCTTTTAAAAATGAATAAAATTAGTTAGGATAATAGTACAGTATTTTCCACAGGAAAATGTTCATTCATTCATTTAAAAAACCATTCATTTGATACCTTCTACATGTAAGGGCTTTGTGGTAGACACTGTAGAAGACACAAATGAATCAATCGGACATATGTCCTGTGCTTAAGAAGCTTATATTTTAATAGTGTTGATTGTAGTATACATAAATAAAACAAAAATAAAAAGTGATGAGAATTATATATAAATCATTATGGGTATGACTGGCATTATAGCATTTAGACACACCATCTGTTTCCTATGTCTTATGTGATGCAATTACTAACAGTCTTACATAGAGGAGATAAAATACAGTCATGCATGTGTGCTGACATGTCTGTGTGTAAATAAAAACTGCAAAGATGCTCTGAATGTATAATTTATAATAAGGAGCCAGCATTATGGCTAGTACCAAAGAACACTCAAGATGACAGATGTGATTATTTTTGAAAAAACAAGGAGCTGGCGTTGCACATAATAATAGCGATAAACCGCAGTAAATTATAACAGTTCCGAGCCATAAGAGAAACTCTAAAGAAGAACTGTCATAAGCCACTGCTGCAAACCAGTTTGGATTTAACTACCTCGCATTTGCGTCCATAAAACCAGCTTCTGCAATCTGTTTTTATTGGACAAGATTCAGTGACTGTTCCTATAATCTTCTTGTGTCAGTCCTTCAACATGAATATGAGTACTCCAAGACAAGATTCTTCAAACTGGAGTACATATACTCTTGAGCGTGCACACAAGAATTTTTCAGAGCACAAGCATGAAGAACATGAAGGAATCAGTGTCTATACCTGCAGTTCTCACACATGCTTTCCAAGACTGATCTGCCAGGAAAAAAAAAATGCTTGTGCTCTAAAAGCTTCCTTTTAAAAAAAGTCATACTTAACAGAATCTTCCTGCATCTTCCTTAATGCATCTTCCTGGGTTGGAAAACCCTCAATGGTACAGACGTAGGGACAACTCTAGGAACACTTACTTCTTACACAGTCCCATGAGAGCAGAGCGTCAGCAGCTTCAGGACCAACCACTGGATGGAAATACGCAAATAACAGTACCTGTCATTTCATCTGGGCCTCATCTCTCTCACAAGTGAAGTGGTTGCCAGAGGGATGTGTATTTACACATTGGCTTAAGTTGAAAAAAAAAAAAAAGCCAGACTTTTCCTGAATGTCTGTTTTGGCTGACTGGTTTGCCAATGATGACTTTTAGATTATATGGCAGATGTTAATATGTATCTTCTGCAGTTATTTAAACCCTGAATACAAAATTCCAGATTCCAGCAAAGTGGTACTTAGTTTAAAAAATTATTTTAGAACAAATTATCAAAAGAGAAGTTAAGAAAACCCCATTTAAAATAGCATCAAAATGAATAAAATAATTAGGAGTAAGTTTAATAACCAAGAAGGTAAAAGATCTGTATATTAAAAACTGTAAGACACTGATGAAATAAAATGAAGAAGACACAGAAAAATGGACTGATGTTCCATGTTCATGGATTGGAAGAATATTGTTAAAATGTCCATACTACCCAAATTATGAAAAGATTCAATGTAATTCCTATCAAAATTACAATGTATTTTTTCACAGAAATGGAGACATCAATCCTAAAATGTATATGGAACCAAAAAGATTTTGAATAGCCAAAGCAGTCTTGAGAAAGAACAAAGCTGGAGGCATCACATATCCTGATTTCAAAGTATACCAGAAGGCTATAATAATGACAACAGTTGGTATTAGCATAAAAAAAGACACAAGAGACCAGTGAAGCACAAAAGAGAGCCCAGACACAAACCCATCCAGGTATGGTCAATTAATCTTCAACAAAGGAGCCAAGAATATACAAAGGGAAAAGGATAGTCTCTTCAATAACTGTGGCTGGAAAAACACATGACATGCACATGCAAAAGAATGAAACTGGACTCCTACCTTACATTACACACAAAAGTAAACTCAACATGGATTAAAGATTTGAACCTAAAACCCGAAACTAACATTCCTAGAAAAAAATACAGGGGATAAGCTCCCTGACACTGGTCTTGGCAATGAGTTTTTAAACTTGATACCAAAAGCAAAGGTAACAAAAGCAAAAATAAGCAGATGGGATCACATCAGACTGAAAAGCTTCTGCACAGCAGAGGAAACCGTGAGCATGATGAAAAGGTAACCTATGGAATGGGAAAAGATATTTGCAAACCACATGTATCTGATAAGGGGTTAATATCCAAAATATATCATCTCATATCTGTGAGGATGTCTGTTATCAAAAAAGCAAGAGATGACAAATGCTAGAGAGGATGTGGAGAAAAGGGAACATTTCCTGTACACTGTAGATGAGAATGTAAACTGGCACAGTCAATATAGAAAACAGTATGAAGGTGTCTCAAGAAATTAAAAACAAAATTACCTGAACAAAATGAAATCTCTATCTTGAAGAGATATCTATAACTATGTTCACTGCAGCATTATTTATTCTAGCCAAGATACGGAAATAGCCTCAGTGTCTGACAACGAATGAGTGGATAAGGAAACTGTGGCATGTATATGTGTTTAAATACAAATGTATTTTACATATGTAAATATGCAAACACTTTACATATATAAATATATATTGTGTAAAGTACATTTTATAAAATGTATATAAATGTATAACATTTATATTGATGGACACATATGTTACATATGATACCTATACAGTACATAAATACATTTTTATATATGCACACACCCACATATATATGGTGGAATATTAGCCAGCCTTTAAAAAAGAAGGAAATCCTGACATTTGTGACAACATGGATGAACCTAAAGGGCATTATGCTAAGTGAAATAAGCCAGGCAGAGAAAGACAAATGGCACGTGGAAATTGCTTAAATGTGGAATCTAAAAACAAGCTGAACTCACAGAGTAGAATGGTGGCTTCCAGGGACTGAGGGAATGGGGGAAATAGGAAGGAGCTGGTAAAACTACAGTTATAAGATGAATAAGGCCTGAGGTTACAATGTATAACATGTGACTACAGTTAATACCATATTTTATAATTGAAATTTGCTGAGAGTAGAACTGAGTGTTTTTACACACACACACAGAAGATGAATATGTGAGGTGATGGAGCTACTGTCGGGAATCATATATCACCACATTGCATGCTTTAGATATTACCTTTCAATTATGCCTCAGTAAGTAAAAAAGAGCATTTACTAAAAGAAAGTGCTATAATTGGGGTTCCCTGGTGGCTCTCAGTGGTAAAGAATCCACCTGCCAATGCAGGAGACACAGGTTTGATCCTTGGGTCATTGGGAAGGTCCCCTGGAGAAGCAAATGGCAACTCACTCCACTATTCTTGCTTGGGAAATCCCATAGACAGAGGAGCCTGGCGGGCTACAGTCCATGGGGTTGCAAAAGAGTCATACAGAACTTAGCAACTAAACAACAAGATCATTATTCTTTACATGAACAAATTAATTGTACATAATAGAAAATTATTTTAGGAGCTATAAGAGGAAACATTGAAAACCACTGCTCTATGAGATATGAACTAAAAAGAATGTAAGCACAATGATAAATGAGAATTTTTATTTAGGCTGTTTAAGTTTCTCTAATACAGAGAATGTCCCTTGAGAAAGACACCAGATGTGGAGCAGGTCCATGAAGTAGCTGGTGTTCCTGTTAGAGAGGCAGTGTGATTGGGGAAAGAGAACAGGCTCTGCCCCTTCCTGATCTTTCTGACTCTCCATTTTCATTTTCTCTGTAAAATAGAGAATAATCTCAAATCCTGTAGGCTTGCCATGAGAATCAGAACCAATAGCTATAGTTAAAGACTTAGCTCAGTGCTTGGCAGCACGTCACCGGCCCTAAAAGGTAGCCGTTATACAGTCTCATACATTTTAGTCTTTGGGTTGAAACTAAAATACTACTGCCTTTTTTAAAGGGGAAAACTTAGTTACTAACTCAAACACTTCTGATATGCATTTAAGTCATTTTTTCCAGTAATAACAACAGATTTAGATTAGTCATTAGTCCTACTGGATGTTCTCTGTGAGAAAAAGATGGCCCTGTAGGTCAGGAATACAAGCTGTACCCACCCACGGTTTGGGATATTATTAATAATGAACAACTGGGTAAGTTAATATTCAGCCAGAATACCATTACTAGAAAACATCTGACACATAAATAGTAAAGTCTTAGTCAGTCCTGACATCACCTGGGAACTTGTTATAATGCGAATGTTGAGGTCCACTCTTTGCCTTCAGAATTGGAATTCACCATTTAACAAGATTCCTAGGTGATTCAATTGAATGTTAAACTGTGAGAAGCACTGGTAAAGAACAGGTAAAGAGCCTAACTTCTAATGACAGACTGACAGATACACATGTCTATAAACATACAACAAATACACAAGTGTAGGTCACAGTGGTTTTCAATGGGGGGGGTGGTTCTGCACCCCAGAAGACATTGGGCAGTGTCTGGAGATAATCTTGGTTGTCACGACTGGTGAGATGCTCCAGGCGGGTGTCTACTGAGCAGAGACCAAGAACGCCGCTAAAACATATTACAAGGCCCCCACCATAAAGAATCAGTTGGCCCAAAATGTCAGTAGTGCTGAAGATGAAGAACCCCTAGCATAGATGACACAAACCCCTCAACTGGAAAAGGCACTAAGGCATATTAATTGGAACTATTCATGGGAGGAGGAGCCATAATTTGACCCCACAGTTCTGACGGGAAGAATTTCCTATCTGGATTTCTCAAGATCTGTGCTGCTTTCAAGATTATGAGTATCCTGATTAAAAGCTCTCAGACTTACTTTCCTGCTGTTACTAGTAAAACCAGAGTCAATGATAACCTTGTTACATATAAAGTCAGTCAGCTTCAATACCTAAAACCCGTTAACATGCAAAGAAAGATAAAAGAAACAAAACTATTACTGTTTGGTTTAAATCCCAAGGAAGGAAGCTGCCTCAGGGGACCCTCAATTGCCAAGTTGTCACAGCAAACCTTCTTACCTGAACTAATTTGTCTGTGAAACCTGAACAGATGTGAGGCTATTCATTATCTTAATTACCCCACTTAGTGCACATGTCTAGGTAGCTCACGATGGAAGTATTCAAAAGTCTGCCTAGCTGATGGTGTGTAACAAGCACAGTGTGGAACAAGCACCCAACTGGCCCTGGGATGGATCCATCAGGGCCTCCCTCCTAACATGGACTCAACTGGTTGATGGTTGGGGGTGTAACTCTTTCTGCATATAAATTCCTATCTTCTTCCCTGAAAGGCTTTACCAGACTAGCCTAAGGTGTGCTAATGGGACTGGTCCAGGGAAATAGCAGGTTGTTAAGAAACAAGTAGTAAGGAAATGCTGAGACATATGTATTCACATTGTCACTTTTATGTATCTAACCATGTAAAATGGAGCTTGGAAACAGATGGGGATACTAGCTGATTTTCAGAAACTACAGAAAAAGATAAATGAACTTGCACCATGCTGAAAAAGATGCATCATGCTTGCTCCAAGAAAACACTGAACACAATGGAAACAACTGAAATGTCTTTAAACTCTTTTTTGCCAGTTTTGGCAATGCTAGGATCCACTGATGGCCATTCAGTTTTAATGTTCTTCTCCTCATACTCCACACAATCTTCCCTTCCTTGTATCCTAAGAAAACATACCTTCTTCTCATGAAAATGAAACAGCACTTGGCATTGCTTAATAAGCTGAAAAGAAATCCTGAAAAGCTTTTGTGAAACTATTCTCTAATAAAATTCTAAGAACTGTGATGTAGAGAGGGGAAAATATTTCACTGCAGCATTGTTAAATACCATCCTAATGCTCACGTGGGAGGAAGAAGCACTTCGCCAGTTTCTGTAATGACTTCACCACCGGCACAGTTTGCCATGGACTCTGCCGCTGAGCTGTGAAGTCCCACTACCTTTCATGCTTCTCTTCTCAGGTTCCCATGTGTATCAGATGGGAATGGGACAGGGCCAGAAGCCCTGGGCAAGCCTCCTGCCAAGAGTGTGCATTAGATCATCAACCTACCCCACCCCGGCTTCCTCAGAACTGCACAGGCCACAGCCCTTGGGCCAGCCTGTCAGGTTCTCAAAACAGGAAAAACTAAAAGTGGATCCTCCCCGTAAAAAAGTTTGAAAGTTCTTACATCATACAATTATTTTAAACACATAGCCTCTTGCATAGTGTAATTACAGAAGAGCAGATTCGAATCTCAAAAAGGACTCTATATCCAAGAATACCCCAAGTTAATTTCCCTATACAATGTTCTCTCACATACTTAAACAATTTTAAAAAGAAAGTTCTGTGGCAAGGATTAAAGACTTGCATTGGATAATTAACTCATTCCTAGTAGATAAGATACACTGAAACTCTCTATGCTTGATCAAAAAAAAAAAATATTTACAACTTTTCACCCATGACAAGTCCTTCAGTTAAATTCTTCGGGGATTCCATCCTATTTTAGCTTCTCTATAACAATACTGCAAAGCTGTAATTACATCCTCTATAATCAGGCCATTCCCAGTGTAAATAGGAGTGCCACAAATTTAAAACTGTGACCTCAATACTGAGGGAAAAAGTGTGTGGAAGAGAGAGTTTATACTGCATGCAATATGTCTTCCATGTTCTGTTGACAAATTTAAAACATAAAGAAAAAAAATAACATGTTATCAAAGTCATCATTCAAAGGACTCATGATTCAAAAAGGTTCCTGATAAGAGCTTTTCCTTCATAATTTCTAATATCTGACACTCATCAAGCTCTTTTGTATCAAATCCGATGCTCTTCCCATATGTTATGAAAACTCTAAACCCCTTCAGGTACTTGTCAGTTCCTCTCATTCAACTACCATCCACTGTAGGAATAAACATAGATGTGTATGGATTTCCTGACACAATGTCAGGCTAGTGTAAACCAAGTTTAAACTGGCAAATAGGTCCATTAGTAAAGTGCCTAACTTATAAGCAATGTGAATAAATTTAATCTTAACTAAGAATAAGGAAGCCAATCAAACATTAGTAATCACATATTATAATGTTTCAAGCAAACCATTTGATAAATACAATAATAACCACATTAATAAAACAGATCAACAGCAACAAAACTCAAATGCTTATGGGTCAGCACTGTGAGAATCTTAGATGAATTATCTCATTTAATTTTCACAAATGGCCCCTGGATAATAAAGTTATCACCTCCAGTTTTCACAGAGGAAACTGAAGCCCAGGGGATGTTAAATAACTGCCCAGGTTAATTAGTTGGTATGAGTAGGGCTAGTCTTGAAGCTTGGGCCAAGTGAGTCTCAAGCTTATGCTTATTTTTACAACCTTCAGGCTACAATGTCTATTGATTATATGTTACACAAGCAATTTACACCAAACATTCTTGTCCTTACTCTTACTAAGGCTCCTGGTGAACTAAAACTGTCAGCAATCATCGAGCGGGGGAAGAGAGCAGGAAGTGAAAAAGAAGAGCCAAGATTCCCCACCCCCCCCAAATTCAGGACCTCCTTTCCATTACTGTATGAGTCGATACTGTCTAAATTACATACATGTTTACTCATAGCCCGTAAGTTACTAAAGCACCAGTTACAAAACAGAATGCACTCTTTTATTTTTCAGATTAAAAAGGCTGATTGACCAAGAAACTGAGTCCCAGGAGAAGAAGGAGCAAGAAAGAGAGAAGAGGGTCACCGCCCTGAAAGAGGAGCTGACCAAACTGAAGTCTTTTGCTTTGATGGTGGTGGATGAACAACAAAGGCTGACGGCACAACTTGCCCTGCAAAGACAGAAAATCCAGGACCTAACCGCAAGTGCAAAGGAAACACATGCAAAACTAGCCCTTGCTGAAGCCAGAGCTCAGGAAGAAGAACAGAAGGCAACCAGACTAGAGAACGAACTGCAAACGCAGACCACAAAATTTCACCAGGACCAAGAAACAATTATGGCGAAGCTCACCAATGAGGACAGCCAAAATCGCCAGCTTCGACAAAAGCTGGCAGCACTCAGCCGGCAAATTGATGAGTTAGAAGAGACAAACAGGTCTTTACGAAAAGCAGAAGAAGAGCTGCAAGATATAAAAGAAAAAATTAACAAGGGAGAATATGGAAACTCTAGTATCATGGCTGAGGTGGAGGAGCTCAGGAAACGTGTGCTAGAAATGGAAGGGAAGGATGAAGAGCTCATAAAAATGGAGGAGCAGTGCAGAGATCTCAATAAAAGGCTAGAAAAGGAAACATCACAGAGTAAAGACTTTAAAATTGAGGTTGAAAAACTCAATAAAAGGATTATGGCTCTGGAAAAATTAGAAGATGCTTTCAGCAAAAGCAAACAAGAGTGCTACTCGCTGAAATGCAATTTGGAAAAAGAAAGGATGACCACAAAGCAACTGTCTCAGGAACTAGAGAGTTTAAAGATAAGGATCAAAGAGCTGGAAGCCATTGAAAGTCGTCTGGAAAAGACAGAATTCACCTTAAAAGAGGATTTAACTAAATTGAAAACATTAACTGTGATGCTGGTAGATGAACGGAAAACAATGAGTGAAAAATTAAAGCAAACTGAAGATAAGTTACAAGCTGCTGCTTCTCAGCTTCAAGTGGAGCAAAATAAAGTGACAACAGTTACTGAGAAGTTAATTGAGGAAACTAAAAGGGCACTGAAGTCCAAAACTGATGTGGAAGAGAAAATGTACAGTGTAACCAAAGAGAGAGATGATCTAAAAAACAAACTGAAGGCAGAAGAAGAGAAAGGAAATGATCTCCTGTCCAAGGTTAATGTGTTGAAAAATAGGCTTCAATCCCTGGAGGCAATTGAGAAAGATTTCCTAAAAAACAAATTAAATCAGGATTCTGGTAAATCCACAACAGCATTACACCAAGAGAACAATAAGATTAAAGAGCTTTCTCAAGAAGTGGATAGACTGAAACTGAAGTTAAAGGATATGAAAGCCATCGAGGATGACCTCATGAAAACAGAAGATGAGTATGAGACTCTGGAACGAAGGTATGCTAATGAACGTGACAAAGCTCAATTTTTATCTGAAGAGCTGGAGCATGTTAAAATGGAACTTGCCAAGTACAAGTTAGCAGAAAAGACAGAGTCCAGCCATGAACAGTGGCTTTTCAAAAGGCTTCAAGAAGAAGAAGCTAAGTCAGGTCACCTCTCAAGAGAGGTGGATGCACTGAAAGAGAAAATTCATGAATACATGGCGACTGAGGACCTGATATGTCACCTCCAGGGAGATCACTCAGTTCTGCAAAAGAAGCTCAACCAACAAGAGAACAGGAACAGAGATCTAGGAAGAGAGATTGAAAACCTCACTAAAGAGTTAGAGCGGTATCGTCACTTCAGTAAGAGCCTCCGGCCCAGTTTCAACGGAAGAAGAATCTCTGACCCTCAAGTATTTTCTAAAGAAGTTCAGACAGAAGCAGTAGACAGTGAGCCACCTGATTATAAGAGCCTCATTCCTCTGGAACGAGCAGTCATCAATGGTCAGTTATATGAGGAGAGCGAGGACCAGGATGAGGACCCTAATGAGGAGGAGTCTGTGCTTTCCTTCAAATGCAACTCATCTACTCCCTGTCCTGTTAACAGGAAGCTCTGGATTCCTTGGATGAAGTCCAAGGAGGGCCATCCTCAGAATGGCAAAATACAGACTAAACCCAATGGCAGCTTCGTGCAACCCGGAGATTTAGTCCTCAGCCACACACCTGGGCAGCCACTTCACATAAAGGTTACTCCAGACCATGTCCAAAACACAGCCACTCTTGAAATCACAAGTCCAACCACAGAGGGTCCTCACTCTTACACAAGCACTGCAGTGATACCAAACTGTGGCACCCCAAAGCAAAGGATCACCATCCTCCAAAATGCCTCCATAACACCAGTGAAATCAAAAACCTCTGCTGAAGGCCTGATGAGTTTAGAGCAAGGCATGTCCCCAATTACCATGGCAACCTTTGCCAGGGCACAGACCCCAGAGTCCTGTGGTTCTCTAACTCCAGAAAGGACAATGTCACCTATTCAGGTTTTGGCTGTTACTGGTTCAGCTAGCTCCCCTGAGCAGGGACGCTCTCCCGAGCCGATAGAAATCAGTGCCAAGCACGCAATTTTCAGAGTCTCCCCTGACCGGCAGTCATCATGGCAGTTTCAGCGTTCAAACAGTAACAGTTCAAGTGTGATAACTACTGAGGATAATAAAATCCACATTCACTTAGGAAGTCCTTACATGCAAGCTGTAGCCAGCCCCGTGAGACCTGCCAGCCCTTCAACACCACTGCAGGATAACAGAACTCAAGGCTTAACTAACGGGGCACTAAACAAAACCACCAATAAAGTCACCAGCAGTATTACTATCACACCGACAGCCACACCTCTTCCTCGACAATCACAAATTACAGTAAGTAACATATATAACTGACGACCCTTCCTTATCCGGTTTATACTGATATTATTGCAAGGAACTCAGTCCTTTTTAATTATCCCTCTACATCCCCCCAAAGACTGACTGAACTTGTACTTTGGGAAGGTTTATGCATGAACTATCCAAGAGTATCTGAAACTAACTAAGTGTTGCCTGCATAGTCATATCAAGTGTGCACTTACTGTGTATCTTTTCATTTACATACCCTGTATGGAAAATATTTAGTCTGCACTTGTTTAAATACATCTTTATGTATTTCATTTTCCATAACTCACATTAATTTGACTGCAACTTGTCTTGGTGAAATACTTTAACATTATAAAGCAGTAAATAATTTGTTATTTTTACTATTGCTTGCGGAATTTTCTTTTGGTCATTCTGTGTGTGTGTGTTTTGTTTTTTTTTTTGCATGTATAATAGAATTTTATTTCCTGTTTATAATGTCTATTCATTCTTCATTAAAAACAACAGGATCTATTTCCCATTTATAGTCAACTTCTGATCATGTATTAGAGGAGAAGGAAGTAGTTGAAATAAAAAAATTTTATGGCTCTTTGATTTCAAGGTGAACTACAAGATCTCACAGGAGCAAACTTGACTTCACGCTTGAGATGTTTCCTAATATCCCTGGTGCCCAGCACAGTATTTAGCACATATTAGGAATTTAGGAACTTAATAAAATGCTTACTCATAATAGCTGAATAAAATAATATTAATTTGCTTTTGTTAACATGTATGAGCTGAGGCATGTCAGGTGAAAGTAAAAAGTGTGTTAGGAAGCCAGAAAAAGCACATTTGGAAACACAAGTTACCTTGACAATCAAGAGTTGACTGTCTTTCTACCACACATTAAAAATCCCCTTAAAATGTTTGTCTACATCTAAACCTAGAATCAGCCACTAAAACATATGCTCTTGAACACTCTGCTTCGAACCAAAAATGTCATTATTGTTCCTTTCTCCTATTTGGCTCACAGAATAGTTTGAATTACTTAAGGTAGCTGCTTCCTACCTTGCTTGTTAGTGGTCTGCATTCAGAAGCTTAAACTTAATTGTAGGTTGTTGTGCTTTTTTTTTTTAACCTCCCAACAAGCAAATAAAAAGTAAAGATAGTTACAAACATAAGTTATAGAAAAGGCATATTTTTAAAAATACTGCATGTTAGTTGAGGAAGTTTCTTCTGTGATTATTGTTACGTGATTTTCAAGGTAGGTGAGAAATACTCAGTAATCCTTAAAAAAATATAAAAGCATCCTAGGAATTCTGATACTGAGACTGTCAGCATAATCTGTACCTCTGTAGCAGAGAACAACAGCTTTCAGAGGAACATTTCATATTACAAATCTGGTCCCCAAGCCACATTCCAAAAACATGATTTCAGACAAAGTAGCTCACTGCCATTTTCCCTTTTCCAACCTCATAACTGTTAATTTAGTGTGGTCAATTTTATTGCCGGTTATTGATTTTAAGCACAATTCATTTAGACACCCAGGAAAACTGTGAAGATCTTTAGAAGTAAGAGGCATCTTTCACAATTATCCTCCTTTCCCTGCAAAATCAATTTCATGATAGCAAAGCAAGGATTTGTTGACAGAAACACTTCCATGGTGATGAACTGCAACACCAACACTGTGGGCTTGCATCATCATTAAATAAATTTGGATGAAAGCTGAGGTTAGTGATGAATGAGAAAGCTTCTGTTTAAACACATTTATCTTGGGAATCGGCAGTGACCCAACTGTATTACAAAATACATGACAGTCTTAATGTTTTCCAAAACTGTTTTTATTTTTAAGTTACCTTGGATTAGAACTTTAGAAGAAACTACAACTCTTTATTTTACATCTTTTAAAGTAGACACTGATAATGTTGCTACATGGGATATCTTTTAAGATAATAATCAGGAGAGTACATATAAAGTTTTGGTGAACATTGATCAACTAATAAAAAACAGAAATAGTTTATAATCAACTAATAATAAACAGAAACTGGAAAGAATTAAAACACAGAGTCTTCCCAGCACTTACCAGCTTGTGTCCCATGCTGACACAAGCAGAACACGCACTGGATGGATGCAGAGGCAGAGGCGATGAGCTGAGGGACCCCGTCGCCCCCAGGCTCCTCCCGGCTGCCCCAAGTACTGAGGAAAAGGTCCATTTTTGGCACGCTTGTAACTAAGAGGTTGAGAGGCTCTGGACCATTCTTTAGTTGAACTGTCTTGTTAAGGATTCAATTTCTTATCTTATGTGAGCCAGAGCAATTTTATATAATAAAGTTAATATCCCAAGTCCTGTGCTCTATGATTATAATGCACAAATTCTCATTTCATCATCCTGCTCCAGATATTAACTACAAATAGGCTTCCCAAGTAATTTAATATTATTGGAAATCTACCTGACTTGCAAGGAACTGAACCTCTTTTAGAGGTTCCTCTATTAGGACTACTTCAGTGTAACAATTCATATCCATATGAAAATTTATTAACACTGTTGTATTAATAACGCATAGATTACTAAAAGTGCTACTAATCAAAGTTTATGGTAAAGAGAGCATCATCTCTTTAAAAAGTTTATTTTCCATAAAATCATACAAAGAATGACACAGACTAGATTATTGGCCTTTAATTTCAAAAATAATTCTTCATAACTCTGTGTGCTTGTGTGTGCATATGTGTATGTGGGGTTCCAGGACTTTCTTTTTATTTCACGTAAAATCACAGACAAACCCTGAAAATTAGGAAGGAGAGAGGAAATGTCACTGTAAAATCTTCATATGAGATATGTGAAAGTGGAGGGTTGTGTTCTTGATGAAAAGAAGGCCCTTGAGAGGTTCATAGGAGACATGACTATTTCTATAAACATCTGAAAAAATATCTTCCTTTCATTTCATCTGAGGTCCTAGCTTCAGAACCAAGATTCATTTACTCAGTCCCTGATTCTTTTAACTTTTTGAGCTGCAGCATTCTATCACAGTTTTGAATGATTTTATTTTGTGACATTTTATTTTATTTTGTCATTTTATTTTAATGACATTCTTCTTGCCTTTTAAGACCATTTGCAAAGCTTTCCCAAGGAGGCCACTGCTCTCTAAGTCATCCTTACAAGAAGGACATTGTACATTACAACAACTGGATCTTTACATACAAAGGAAAGTCTCTTTATGTGTTCAAGATGATGACAGGATTATATAAATTCTATTAGTAGTTAGAGAGTTTCTACAACTACATTTCAGAAAGCCAAGACATTAGGCAAAGGATAAACTAGATTGCACTGTGAGATGACCATAAAAGGGGTATTTAATTTAAAATTTTTAGACTTGTAGTATAAGGATTCTGTGATCTTTATTGACTAAAATATAACTCCACACAAAAACATTTTTCACAGCTATTTTGATTCTTAATCTTTACCAAGTGAGTCTCCTTTGAAACCTGTTAGACAAAGGCAGGGAGAGAGCTTTAATAACACATTAGTTTCCCTACATGTTGGCTTCTGATATTGTCTTTTCCTCCAGATAATCATTTTGCTTTGCAATCCTAAGAGAAAAAGTAATTAGGCAATAATGCATGCCCAAAACAATAGGATCTACATTTCTCAAAGTAAAATTCAAAACACATTATGAAAATCCCCTGATGTCCCACCCAGGGCTATCAAATCCCAATCTCTGAGGGTAGAGCCCAGGAAGCTGCATTGTTTAAAAAGTTTCTCTGCTGATTACTATGTACCTAAAGAAGGAATTGGGCTTCCCAGGCAGCACTGATGGTGAAGAACCCACCTGCCAATGCAGGAGACATAAGAGACACAGGTCTGATCCTTGGGTCAGGAAGATCCCCTGGAGAAGAGCAAGGCAACCCACTCCAGTATTCTTGCCTGAAGAATCCCATGGATAGAGGAGCCTGGTAGGCTACAGTCCATAGCACTGCAAAGAGTTCGACATGACTAAAGCCATTCAGCACACACACACACAAAGAAGGAATTCCATTGTTTTCGACATTTCTATTGATATATTGATAAACACTAGCAAATACGTCCTGACTCTGGTCTTGCTCTATCAGAATGAATTACACCTGTTTCAGGAAGTGTGACTATTCCACCCTCTACTGGCTGGCATGACAAACAGATGGCTTATTCTCCAGGTTTTCTTTTTATTCAAAAGAAGAGCTCAATAGAAACTGCCATCTTATAAGGTGGGAAGGTTCCCAGTTTTACAACAGTAGCAAAGCAGAGATGTCTAAATCTCTGAGCAGCAGTAGCAGGCTGTCTGACAACTACAAGCTCTGTTTCACCTTCAGGTCCCTGGGCCTCAGCATAACCCTACAAGCATTTCTTGGGAATGGTCCAGAACACACATTAAAGAGAGCAGTTTGGATGAGCCAAAACAAAGGACTCCATTCACCTTAGGCCACAGTGAAGCAAATCCAAGAAAGAATAAGGAAGATAAGTGGTTCAATAAAATCCCCAGACCTTGAAACGCCTTAAAACTCATTTTCATTTAGATTAAGCTCCAGGTCCTTTCCTGTGCAACTGGTGGATCCTTCTACTGTGCAGTCAGAGCAGGTACCCCCAAAGGCATGGCTGTAGGATAAAGACTCCTTAGGGAGTTGAGCAAGTCAACCAGCTAACACACTTCTAAGCACCTTATCATCTGATAATAAATTAATGCTGTTCATACAGCAACACATACAAATCTGTCAATATTCTATCAGGATACCAGGTTTTACAACAGTTAGAACAATGCCATAAAAATGTGATCTGGGCTAACCTTTAACACTGCAGTCAGCAATCTGACAGATAATCCTCTTGTGGCCTCATTTTAAAATTTATTTTTGTCACAGAATTATTGGTCAAGAGAAATAAAATTTATCTAGTTATGCGAGATAATTTTTTTGAAAGCCTGAAAGTTTTATTTTAGTGAGTTCCTTTTTCCCACATAGCCAAATGGTTCTGTATGATATTTTTGTGAGGTTACCTAAAACAGACC